TTTGAAAACCATGCTAGGAACTGGAATTGCTGTGACCCACAGAAAGACAAAAACAGAATTTGTCTTGATCAGGGTTTTCTTTTCAGTTGGTCTTGCAGAATCTTTTTATGAATTTTTTTCCCAAAGAGTATGCCCTTAATTGAATGTCAATAGTTTAGAACAGACGGGGAGAGGTTCTTGGCTTTCCCATCATACATTTCTCCTTCCAGTCTCTGTATCCATTTTCAGCAAGCTACCTATTTTAGAATAGTAAATGTCTTTTATTATTGCTGACATAGATCTTCAGAAGTTTTTTTCCTCACATTTGCACCATGTGGATTGATTTCTTTTATGTTTATTCAGCTAAACTTGCACGCTTGAGAGAAACTGAAATGATATGCCATTTGTCATTTTACCTGGTCATGTCTTTGAATAATGCCTGCTACTTTTTTATTGAATATTTGAAAAATAATTTATTTATGGAATTTATCTGAAAACAGCCTAGCAGCATATTACAGAAACTTCTATCCATTGACCTTAAGCGGCTCTTCTCCCTGTTTTGTATGATGTACTTTTTTTTTCCTCCAAGTCCATTTCTTTATTGGTACATTCTAGATATATAGTACAGTTACATTCATCATTGGGCTCTTGTACCTTTTTACATGATGTATCTTGGTTCTTATTTTTTCCCCATTCCCCTTTGCCCCCTCCACCTTTCCCTATTTACAAATACTTTGTTTCCATTTTTTTCCTTTTCTCTTATTTTTCTTTTCCCTTTGTACCTTTTCCCTACCCCTCCCACTGCCCCTACATGTTTAGACCTTTTTTCCTATTACACAATATCAATATGGAGATAACCTTAAACAAATAAGATTAGAAGTCCCATTTGACCCAGCTATTCCTCTGCTGAGTATCTTCCCAAAAGAATTAAAAGAATCATGCCACAATTGTATATGCTTACCATGTTTATAGTATAGTGGCACAGTTTGTAATAGCTAAAACTTGGAAACAGCTTAATTGTCCATAAACTGGAGACTGGATAAAGATTTTTTTAATAAAATGGAGGACTAATCAGCCATAAAGAATGAGAAACTAGAGACATTTATAGCTAAATGGATACACATTGAGGACATACTGTTAAGTGAAATTAGTAGGACACACCTATAAATACTGAATAGTTTCTTTGATATGATAAACAAGAATCAAAGTGTCTGATGTACTTATTATGGAGAAGGACTTCAAAACTTTCCTTTTCAGGCTGGGGATTTAGCTCAGTGGTTCCACCACCTGTCTCACAAGCACAAGGACTGAAGCTCAATCCCTGATACTAAAAAAAAAAAAGAAAATCTTTTCCTTCCTGTCCCATAGTCTGCCGTCAGTCATTAATCTTCATGGCAGATTTACTCTGGATAATTTGAATTTAAAATTTTGAATTTAAAAAAAGTTAGTGTGGAATAATCTGGTACAAGAGTTTGACTGTATAATCTGACTTTGATCTATTTCCATCTATAAAAATGGCAATCAAAATAGTATCACCACATGGGAATATTTTAAGAATTAAATATAATAATGAAGTATATATAATTTACACCAGAACTGTGAATTATTATTTTTATTATATTGTTAGAATAGCATTAGGCTACAAAGTAGTATTTCACTAAAATTTAAGGAATAATATTTTAATTGCACGGTCTAGTTTTCCAAAAATTCTACCTTTCCTCCCTTGCTTTCTTCCATTATCTTCTCTCCCTGTTCTGTCTTTCTATCTCTTGAATTTGTTCATTGACTATCTTAGTACCTACTATGTACCAGATACTGGATAAGAGACTGAGGAAACAGTGATGATCAAAAGAGGCTGTGTCTCAACTCTTAAGAGTTTGTAGGGTGCGAGGCTGTAAGTAAAAGGACCAATTAATCCAACAAGCTTATGAATGTACAATTACAAACTGTGGCAGCTAAGCAACATTCATGAGCACCCTCAATTTCCTTTTGCTTGAAGAATTGTGAATGATAATAGTATTATCAATATGTGCAAGGTGTTTATCTCTTGCAAAACACTTGTGCTTACTTTTATTTGAAGTTAATAGTGGTAATGTCATGTAGATATTATTAATTCCCACTTCCCAGATGAAGAAGCTGAAAAATTACATGACTTATTTAGGTTCATACAGCAATCTTATTAAAAGATTCAAGGTAGAATCTTTTATTTCCAAACTCTATGCTCTATATACTTTCTAATTGTTTGCAAAATCAGAATTTCTGAAATTATCTGATTCACTTGGAAGCTTCTAAAAGTGACTGTGCTTCTCAAAAGTTATATGAAAGTGGTGTTTTTGAGCTCAAGCTCTGTGCCACAATCCTTGAGCAGACTACTTAACTAACTGAACTTTATTATTTATTTATTTATTTTGGTACCAGGGATTGAACTTGGGTTCTTGTGTTTGCAAGGCAGGCCACCTAACTGCTGAGCTAAATCCCCAGCCCTTAACTAGCTGAACTTTACATGGTGGTTCTAATCCCAGCCAGTTCCCTTAAGAGCACGTTCTGGATGCCAGGGAAGGTCACTGAAATTGCATCCCTAATTTAACAAGATCACTACTGCTCTTAGGAAAATCTACTTGAAATTCAGAAAAATTATCTGGATTTTTTTCCCCACTAACCTCAGTAGCCAGCTTATGTGTCAGAAGTCCTGTTGTTTCCACTCCCACCAGTTTGGGTTTCTCTCAATTTACAAAGACAAAAAGACATATAGTAGAAAACACACAAATTTTTTTTTTTCAGTAGAGTCAGAATTCTTAGAACATCTAAGAGCAGAATTATAAAGCTGCCAACCAGGACTTTATTGAGTAGAAGAATTAAATTCTTCCAGATGTGTGGGCCTGTGCATCCCTGGACACTGTAAAGCCTATGATGGCCTAATTTTTCAGGACATGGGAGTGAAAACTGGTCATCACACCTGGGATACATGAATAGACAACTACTTGGAGAAATTTTGCATGTACACCCCTTGAAGGTGCAACTTTAGTCTATCATATTGTCTTGCTTCCTTGAAGGTAAATATAACTCTAAAAGTGATTCCACTTTATCACGCTAAAGAGGATGATCAGCAGTCATGGAACATAGGGCAGCCCCAGTAAGAACTTATCTCACAGATCAACCCTCAACATGCTCCAGCTCCATCTTTGAGATTGTCTAGTGTTACAAAAGCCTTCATATGAAAGCTTACTTTCCATCTTTGATTCTAATAAGTACCCTCAACAAACAATAAATTTTGTCTTTACTTCTGACAAACTTTTTCATGAGTCATTATGGAAAAAAATATGACTCTCAGTTTTGGCAAAACATGAGAGTAGAAAGGCTCATGACATTATCAGTTTGAGAGAACTTTAGATCATTGACTTCATTTATTAAAAAGGAAAGTGGGGCATTGTGGTAGGCAGAACATTGGTCCTCCAAAGATATCCATGTCCTAATCTCCAGAACCTCTGAAGATGTTGCCTCGCTTGATAAATGAGTTTGCTGATGTAATTAAGCCTAAGGACATACAAATGGGGAGAGTATCCTTTATTACCATGATGTGCCCAGACTAATCATATAAGAAAAAATAAGAAATTCAGAAGAGTAGGTCAGAGAGACACAATGTTAGAATAGCACCTGTGGTTATTGGCTTTGAAAATGGAAGAAAGGGACTATGAGCCCAAAACTATAAAGGCCTGTGAGTATTAAAAATGGTCCTCTGCTTGCAGGGGACAAGAGAACAAGAACCATGGTTTTACAACAGCAAGGAACTCAATTCTGATAACAATCTGATTGAGTGTGGTATATATTCTCCAGAACAGAGCATTAAGAAAGAGAGAGAACCCTACCTTGACTTCAGGTCAGTGAGTCCCATGTTGGATTTCGGACCACAGAAATGTCTGAAAAGACATTTTTGTCATTTAAAGCTGCTTAATGAGTATCACTTTGTTACAGCAGCAGTGGGAAACAAATATAAGCTGAGAAAGGGAAAGAGATTTGACTGATGTCACATTCCTAATGTATGAGTACATGTGGGAGCTATAGTCAGGACTTTTTGGACTACCTGTTGATGTAGGCATTGTCCACCTATAGAACCTCAATCAATTTATAATATATCTAGGTTCTTTCTCTTATCCTGGTTATCATCCCTTAAGCATATCTGAAATAATCCTTCTTCCAAATTAGACTCTTTTTTGTCATCTCTCTCAAAGTCTCGAATAGAAACTGCACGAAGACAAAGACTCAGTTTTCTTTGTTCACTATTTTATATTTCCCCCTATAATGGTGGACTAGTAAATTATGGCTTAATAAAATTTGTTAAATGAATGAGAAAAATGAGTAAATGTGTAAATGAATGAACACTATTCAAAAATCAATGAGAATATACTGTTAAGGTAAAGGAATTAATATATTTTGGCTGAAATTTCTCATTTTAAAAATGGTAAAACCTAAGACTTAGGTCACAGACCCAATTCTTAGCAAATCTGGAATAGTGCCTAAGTCTTCTGACCATCTCACTGGCACATTTCTGCTTTTCATTTAAGTGCACCAAAAGGTTACATTTTAACAGCAAAATGCAACTAAAGGATACTGATCAACCAAAAGGTAAAAAATTGGAACTGACACTATCTGGGTGTATACATTTCCAGAAACACTCAGGGGCAGTGCCTGTCCTAAAATGGTTTACTTTTGAAATATTTCTTATTAGATCAGATGGATTCCACACAAGCAAACGCTTTCATTCCTTCTTGAATAGAGTCTATAAAAAAATTTAGAATGAAAAGGCTTGGTCTGTCAGGTTTCCTGATTATGCTGGTCTGGGTTAAAACCAGTTGGCTGTCTGGACTCCAAACTCATTCATTTGTTGACTCAGTTTCTTTTTTACTTTTATACACCCATCATCCAATCTTTTAATTAGTATATTCATATGTTTTATTAAAATATCTCTTTAAAAATGCAGAATATAAAATTGGAATTAAGCAATTTCATTTCTCATCTACCAGTTTCATCACTGAATATCCACTGAGAGTTCTCCATGGACAAGAGCAGAGATGCTAGCTTTGAGGTGACATACAGGCTTGGACCAAGGACATCTGTGGCCATCAGGGAAAGAAGTGCAGTGAGCCAGCCCCTGGAAAGAATCATAAGGTACCAATGCCTGGGAGGCCGGCCACAGGCTGACTTGTGGCTTGCATTCCTTCACTTACTTGGGGTGTGCTTTTCTGCTGGAAACGTTTTCCTGAGTAATAAATCCTTCCTCATTCTTCACACACGGGCTACATCTCCTGCTCTTCCCTGAATGAAGCGTTGGTTTTCTCATCGAGGACAAGGATGAGCAAACCAGATCTCTTAAAACTGAAACCTCAACAGACCAACAGAATCAAGGGAAAGACAGGTAAAATATCAATTTCTAGCCAGGAGTGACTGGAGCTTTGTTGGATTTCTCTCTTTTCTTGTCTTGCCTTGCCATTTCTACTTCTGCCTGGTAGTACCTTCTACAAGGCCAAAAGGGCAAAGTCAGATAGGGCTCCTGGGCTGTCTGCAAGCACAGCCCATGCCCAGTCTGCTGGCATTTATCAGAGTGGACTTGCTGACTGCTTCACCTTAGCATCCCTCAGCCTCCTGCCTGCAGAGAGAGAGGAAACAGCAAGCATACTTGCGCTCCCACGGGTGAATGCCACAAATCAAATTGTCGTTGCTTCATAAGTCTGACCTGGAAGTCACTCCCATGAGACAACCACTTTCCAAAAGAGCTTTTTCTGTTCTGACAAAACCCATGAGGCAACTATTTTGTGAAGAGATTGAATCTAGTCTTCCCTTCAGGAAGAAAAGCTGCAGAATTATACTCTGGGCAGCGTTGATGCCACCACCAAGCAGCAAGAGACTTGGAATTCTGATTTTATTTCTGCTGTTGACCAGATGAGCCCCCTTAATAAAATATATTAACCTCTCTGGGCTCTAGTTTTTCAAATTATAACTGAGTGAGAGCGGAAATTGAAATGACAAAATGGAGGCTTGAGTGTCTGAGTTTAATTGCACATATATTTATTTGCTTTCTCTGTGCAATTCTTTTTTTTTTAAAGCCAATTTTTTTTTTCAGTACTGAAAACTGAACTCAGGACCTTGTGCATGCCAGGCAGTTGTGGCACTACTGAACTACATCCCCATCCCCTAAAGCAAAATGTTTTGATGTCTTTAGTTGAGGCAGTTACCAGCCAGTCCCTCCTGCTCCATTTTGATTAAATTGTTTTACTCATTTATCTTACTTATTGCATCCCTGAGGCATTTCATTTTGCAACTGCTCGACTAGATGATCTGAAGTTTATTACTGATTTAAATGGTTTATGATTTCCTGGCCTTAAGTTGTGTGATTGAACAAAACAATGAGAAATAATGTGTTTACCTAGACTCTATATTAGAGAGGTCTAACAACTGTCCGTAGGTCATGTGTCCACAGATTTCCATGCACAGTGGTTCCATTATTACCAGTAACTCTGTCTTTGGTAACACTTTGGTGAATGATTTGATGCCTCATGAAAGAGGCATGCTGAGTGGTGCCTAAGCAAGGCAAGTGAATATGCCAATTCAAAGTCTTGGCCTCAAGGAGCCTGGTATGATTTCACTTGCTGTCTCTGAACCTGGACAGCTTTCGTAGGAATAAGCCTCAGTCAGCTTGCTAGATGATGAGGAATGGGTGGCCTAGTTCCCCAACTCACCCCAAGCGACAGCCTCTACCCCTAGCAGCACAGTCGCCATCCTGACCAGTAGCTACTGCTGATGCACGAGGAAGCCCAGACCATGCTACACTAACCTTCCTAGATGATCGTGCCCCAAATGGTTGCACAAAAATCTTAAACTGCTTAACTTGCAGTGACTGTTTTGAAGCACTGAGCTTTGGGATGTTTTGTTACATACCAGAAACTGATATGGACTCATATGTTCAGTTCATTTCCACAAACACTGAGTAAGAACCATGAGAAAATAGAGATTAGTAAGATGCTATCTCTGCTCCCATGGACATACAGTTTATTTGGAAAATAAGAAAAATATGGATATATTAATGGGAAATGAGGTAAAATAAAGAAAGGCCAGTCGAGGCTATGGGCATTTAGATCGGAAGATCAAAAGAACTAAGATGTGCCGTGACGTGCACATGACATATTCACGTGCCAACTCCCCACAATAAATATAATCAGGAGCTGCAAACATGTACTAATAAAAATAATTAAAAAAAAGAAAAAAGGCTTAGTAAGCAAGGTGCCAAAGTGGATATTAATGTGTAGAATTTGCACAGGTGAAGCCTTTAAGAGGTAAGGTCAGCTGGGAGCCCTCGGGTCTTGAGGATATGTCCTTGAAGACCTCCCTACTGTCCCTTGGGACCTCAGCCTCTCCATTCTCTCTCCTGCTTCCCAGCTATGAAGTGAGTCATTTCGCTCCACCATCCACCTCCACCGTGCTGTGCTGCTTCACCACAACCTCGGAAGCAGTGAGGCCAATTTGATCACGGGCTGAACTTCTGGAACTGTGAGTCAAAACCAAACTTTTCTATTTATAAGTCAGTTATCTTAGATTTTTTTTTCTCTCATTGAGTTTATTGGTACGTTTTGGGTATACAGTACAGTAACATTCATCATTGGGATCTTGTACCTTTACATGACGGGTTTTGGTTCTCATTTTTTTCCCCTTGTACCTTCCCTCCCTTCACCCCTCCTCTCCTCCCCCTTTACAAACACTTCATTTCCATTTTTTCATTTTCTTATATTTTTTCTTTTCCCTTATTACCTTTCTCCTACCCTTCCCACTTTCCCTACATCCTTAGCCCTTTTCTTCCTATTTCATATTGCCCATTATATCATTAGGATCTTATGTACTATTATAGTCTCATCACTCCTCTTCAATATAGTTCTGGAAACATTAGCCACAGCAATTAGACAAGAGAAAGAAATTAAAGCAATAAAATAGGAAAGGAAGAAGTGAAACTGTCATTATTTGCTGATGATATGATACGCTACATTGAAGACCCAAAAAACTCCACCAGAAGACTCCTAGACTTAATTGACACTTTCAGCAGAGTAGCTGGATACAAGGTCAACACTCAAAATTCAGTAGCCTTCTTGTATACAAATAACAGACTTACTGAGAGAGGAATTAGGGAAACAATTCCTTTCACAATAGCATCCAAAAAAATGAAGTCTCTAGGAATCAATTTAACGAAAGAAGCAAAAAACCTTTACACTGAAAACTATAGCACTCTGAAAAAAGAGATCGAAGAAAATGTAAGAAAATGGAAAGATATCCTCTGCTCCTGGGTAGGAAGAATCAGCATAGTGAAAATGGCCATACTGCCAGTTATCTTAGATTTTTTAAAAACAGTAACAGAAAGCTAACAGAGGCATCAATACATTTTCTAGGGATAACTAAGAAATATATGCGATATTTTGTAGATTTCTATAGCTGAAGGTGAGGAGGAAAATGTTCTTGAAAATATAGCAAGAATTTTTGGCAGGAAATGTGCTGCTGATCTGGGTTAGATGAGAATTATCACATGGTGAATGAAGTTTCAAATAGTGTAAAGTCTGTCTATTATGTTTATCTCCACATTCTTACAGTTTGGCAGATGAATTAATCTTCTGATTTAAGTACCCTTTGGGAATAATTTTTCTTTCTCTAAGAAATGACCACATTTGCAATTTATAGTATGTTAAACATATTAAACAGTGCCCTTACTTTTTTGCCTGTGTACAGAGAAAGCTGAGAAAATAATTTAAACACCTCATTCATAATAAAAGACATTGTTACGTGATTTACAACTGTTCAAAAGGGCATAAATTAAATCCCTCTGCAGGACTGGCAAGCCGCCTCCCTTGAGATCTTAGAGACTAAGATTGAATATTTTCTGGAAAGTTTTCCATAGACATTCAACCCTGTAAAGTGTTTCATGGTCGTGATCATTGTGATATGTCAACTTGACTTGAATAAGATCTGCTTAGCAGATTAAAAAATTCTAGGTCTACCTGCAGATGACTGACATGTAGGCCACCTCAGATGTGGATGGCAGCAACAAATGGGCTTGTATCTTGGAAAAAATAAAAAGAGAAAGAAGAAGGAAGTGTTTCCTTTGTGGAGAAGTTGTGGTGTTTGCCATTGCCTTTGGATATTGGTCTTCAGTTCTTTCAGTCTTTGAGGGCAGACTCTTCCGCCTTCAGACAGGGGGTCTCCCTGGTGACTGCAATGTGCTTACAGGCCTTCAGTCTTCAACTACTTGATCCTCTGACCGTCCTAGGCATGGATGACCATGGCTTGTTCTACCTCTGTTTTTGCAGACAGCCATTGGGTCTCTTTGGCTTCTTAGCCTATAAGCCTGCCTAATAAAACCCTTTGTATAATTGTACATGCATTTTATATTGATTCTGTTCCTCTAGAGAACCCTAACTAATATAGTGGTCAGATATGTTGAGCAAATGATGTATATTATATGCTTCTCATGGAAATTTTTAATTTTAATTTGCAGATGTTTGGAGCTATTCTTACTTCTATGGGTTTTTGTTTTTTTTCAGGTAGGGTCTCACTATGTAGTCCAGGATGGCACTGAACTCAGTATGTAGCAGAGGCTGGCCTCCAACTTGCAGCAATCCTTCTGCCTCAGCTTCCAGAGGGCTAGCATTACAGGCCTGCGCTACCACCACAGAAATTCTTACTTTTTAAAAAACAATTTAATACCAGTTATTCTCCAGGAACAAGTAGAACATCTTGGCAAACTTTGATCTAATCTGAGTTTTCCTTTGCCAGAAGAAGGAATCAAATAGAAGCTGTAATGGTTCATTTAAGTGTCAGCTTGACTGAGTCAAGGAGTACTCAGATACTTGATTGAATTTTATTTCTGGGGATGTCTATACGGATGTTTCCGGACAAGGTTGGCATTTGAATTGGTAGCCTGAGTATAACATATTGCCCTCTCCAGTGTGGGTGGCATCCTCCAGTTCATTGAGGACCTAAACATAACAAAATGCAGAAAAAGAGAGAATGTTCTCTCTGACTGTTTGCACTGGGACATTGTTCTTCTATTGTCTTTGGACTGGAACATATATCATTCACTTGGATTTCCAGCTTGTAGATGATAAATCATGAGACTTTGCCTCTGTAATCACATATATTCATTTTTTATAATCTCTCTCTCTCTCTCTTTTTCTCTCTATAGACAGACAGGCAGACACACACACACACACATGATGCACACATACACACACACACACAAAATCACGGTTTTCTTCTCTGGAGAACCAAGACTAATATAACGCCTAGGCGTTTTACTAAAAAATCTCACATCCAATTAGAACTAGTGATACTAGGAATTAGGTTTACCTGCGAGTTCCTAGTCAGGGGTGTTCTCCATACTTTTCTTTGCCTCACAAAAGGTAACCAGTGTCCCTTCCCCTGAGCACAATGAATCTGCAAGAGGGAGCAAGTCTGAACCTCACAAACCGCTGGAACCTTGGAAGGGGGATGCTCCCTGATGTTGGTTGAATGAGACTGAATATTGAGTGACAGGGAGGATTACTGGAGAGCAAATGAAGCCGGGGGCATTCCAGAGAGTTTAAAACACTCCAGTAGGATCCACTTTTACCACTGCGACTTTCATTATAGTTGCTCTAACAGATAAAATAAAAACATAAAAGCAGAATACTTCCACTTTGTACCCCCCAAACAGCATCATCTGATTAGGTGAAGTACTATGTTGCATAAGTAATTCAATTTTATGAAGGATTTGGGTGTAGAGATTTTTAGCAACACATGAATGCTGACGTATCAGGAATAGTACCCAACTATGTACTGGGATAGAGTTGCCTCCTCTCTGTAATCTCCTATACTTGAGGATGTTATTGTTGATTATTCCTGCCCTCTGCATATGACTTTGTTCTCAGAGTGTATTAATTCAGCTAAGATTGAGGAATAAACTGGAACCATTTTAGGAAATTGCAAGAGCAGGATTTGTTTAAAGGTACTAATTACGTAATGTGAAGATAATAGTGTAGAGTCATAAAGAGTAGAAGAATGCACAGAATGGTGGAATGAAGTGATGAGATACCTGAACAAATGAGAGTTGCCCAGGCTAGAGTCCCATTGTACTGGAGGTGTGTTCAGTCTGTGGCATGACAAATGGGGCTTTTGTTTTCCTGAATTCAGTATTCACGCAAAGCAAGGGTGATATATTTAGTCATGGACAAAGAAAAATACGAGAAACTAAATGAAGGTGAGCAAAGTGAAAGTATATAATATGTTTTTAGATTTGAGGGTAGAAGGGCCATCTACGAAGCAATTCAAGTGCTTTTTTTTTTCTCTTTAATTTTTAAAAAAGTCATAACTTTAGCCTGATTGACTCTTCTGGATGGAGGGATTTTCCTTTTCTTCCCAATAGGAAAATGAAAAGTTGCAAGATGTTTGCACTGCGTATCTCCCGTAGGTTGCTCCTGCTTCAAGTTCCTCCCTTGATGGTTTCAAATACGTGTATCTGTGGAGAGATGTTGATCTACTTGCTCATTTACATCTGTTAACCTGCTTCCAGAGATGTTAAACTACAGTGTAAAAGTCACATTGGTGTAAGAAATGTTTTTGCCATGGTTGATCTCTCCTCTCTGAAAGTTTGCATAAGATGCTTCCCGCATAAAATGAAAAACCAAACCAAAACAAACAAAATGGATGTTTTAAAAGGTCTCTGAAATTGCACTTTCATCTTTTGAAGTTGCAGGTTAACTTCTGGAACTTGATTAGCCTAAATCTTACAACTGGCATCCACTTAGACACAACATTCTGTTTCTTCCATCAAACACATTGCTTTCTCCCCAGGCAGCATCTTGCTTTTTCTCTCCATGCTTAGAAATTCAATGTGTGTTCTGTTTCAGAGCAGAAAAGAAGTGCGTTTGTGGCCAGGCTGGTGTGTAGTGTACTCTTCTCTCTGCACACCTCTGGCTGACTGATTTATAGACACTATGTTCGCAATGGCTGTCCTGGGGCCAATAAAGACTCTTAAAGTAAGGGATTATGGAGAAAGAATGGCTCAGCCATTTTCCTGAGAATTCCTTTGTACTCTAGGCCTGAGTTTCACAGAATGGTTGGATCACAGCTGCGAATTTCAGCTTTCTGGATTGTAGAGTGCCAGCTCCCCAGGTGGGCTGCACGAGGTCGCTGGGGGCAGTTTGCCAGAGAGTTTAGAAGCCACTAGAGGAGACGCTCAGGTAATAAAAACCATAATGCCTGTCCTCCAGGAGTGTTGAGTCTAGACAGTTAGGATATAGGAGGGGCAAGGGAGAACTGTAAGTCACTAAAATGGTATTATGATAAATGAGTGTCTTGGGCAATAATTGTAAAAGAATTCAGAGAGGAAAAAATATTTCTTTCCAGAAGGTTTCTGAAAGTCAGACATGCTTGGAATGTAAAAGAATCAGCATTAAATCCACTTAAAAATTACTAAGAATAATTTTTAATGTAAAAGTCCCTCTGTGAAAGA